ACTACCCCCACTATACGACAATCATTACACCTATAACCTCAAGATTGCTAAACAATGAATCCCCAACGGCTACATAGACATTAGTCACTAAAATAGTACAGCGCATTATCCCATACTCAGGACACAATCCTCAAAACTGATCATCGATAATCAAGTGGTCGCACCACAAACCTTTATCGGATACTTGGTCCCACCTAACACACCTCGTCACCCGAGACTAACCACCCGAATCCACACCGTCACGCCGACATAACACACGATACCATGCTCTTACTGCCCCTGGCAAATTGAAACAATCATTGACCTTTGACCCGACATCGTGCTACAAAGGGACTGATTCAGGAGAAATGGTTGGCCAGGCCATTCTCGTCATCAATCCAGTCTCAACACAGACGTCGTTCCTATCCTCAAGTCTAACCTCAAACACACTCTTACACAGTCTACAAAACAACCATGAGATCAACTCACTATCAATCCATCGTCCTACGTAACCTCAATAACTATACAATCATATACCTACTCTAAAAATCCCAATCATACTTTAATCAAACAACCATAAAAAAAAAAAAACTAAAAGCAATACGGTACCAAATACCACAGTCATCAACTAGCATAAAAGATCTCTAATCTCCTCTTAACACCCATACTAGGTAAACAACTCCATAGCATTACTCGATTCAATTCTTACCTCATCAAAACACACAATGTAACTATTTCATGCCTGAGATCTCAAAACCAAAGTCAATCAGTCCTATTATTCCTCAATACAATCATGCATTCACTTTCTTTAATCACATAGTTCTAAGGTAACATTGACACTTGGCCTCAAGACACTGCTCGAATCAAACGCCTGTAAAAATATCCGAGTACATAACTCATGTCACATAACCTAACCAGTCTCAAGCTTACAATTCACGGCACACCCCTAACCATCACCGAAAGTACCAGACATCGGAAACACAATCCCTATTTGACAACTCGTGCCATCAAAACCACCCTCAAAATAAACATTACTAAAAAAAACGATGACTTTATCTCCCTCCGTGGGAGTGAGTTGACCAAATCAACCAAACCTTTACCGATGAACTCAACAACATAACAAATCACACACAGTTCCGTCCACCCACGGACACGCACAACTCTTAAATGGAAAACAAGACTCACGAAAAACGATGTCCTTGCTAGGACTAAAACAAATGGAAAAGGTAACAAACCCCGCTCTCACAAGAGACTGACGACTCGTACCTGAATGTACCCGATACTTTGTCACATGCTACACACCAACTGTCCAACCATGAACACCCAATCTCACCTGAGATGCACTAAACTCCTTACACACAAAGAGAAGAACCAAATGGATACCCGTACGGAATTACAAACTCAATTCTAGGTGACCTAGCCACTAAAGGATCATTATACACTATCAATACAGAAACCTCGCATACGATACCCCGCAACACCCATGCTAACCAAAACCAATCATATCCCTACCACCCATTCGTCGAGTACTAAGATACAACTCACGACACAACCATCAGACAAGAGCATCAACGCTCCCGACATACCACACTAGAAACAATCATAGCCCTTTGGCACTGCGTCTCGTTCCATCTAGAACTCGTCACTCCTAAATGACAACCTTTATGCTATACCTTTATGCTATACGATGACATTAGATCACTCATTCTATATCTGCCTTTCTAGGAGACACTTCCTCAAACAACGTGCACCCAAGATCCGTAACCTCAGTCATAGCAACCCACTACTAGTCGAAAGAAAAAGGTACCTATCTGGTAACATCGTCCTCACTGACTCTAAAGACTAAACCGTCTACAATCACCTCGACCATGCATACAACCCCATCACATACCTGACAACACATAACAAATAACTCATAGTCTTTAAACCATCCTTGGATCATACCTTAAACCGCCCCACTCATCAGTACTAAACATCACATTATAACACCTTTACTGCCACTCATCCCAAACAACGGTTCAAACCTATCATCCCACCAGACTTCCTCAAACATCCTCAAGATAACACCATGATAACAAAAGAATGGGCATTACTCTTAATACTCCCCACAATGATCACTACTTACCACTAGAAAATAACCTCTATACGACAAAGCCATGCCGACACATCTCCAAGTAAAAATTAGCACGAAAACCAGAATGCTCAACACACAACTATTTTCTCAAAACCATCAACGATGCAATCAATCATTAACGCTTAACTGGCTACTCAAACCACTCTTTCTAAGGCAACCTACGTGCCTAAACAAGAAAACTTCACACTCTAGGTTCAACATCATTACCTCCCCTCTTCACCATTCCTCATAACACCCTTGGCCCGACAAAAGTTAAATCGGGCTACCAGCTAAACCTATGAGATCACCCTCGTCCTAACCATTCCAATTGAAAATCCATCTCTTTGGATCCTCAAATAACCAGCACTATCTCCTCATGCCCTAAACGCAACATGAAATTCAACTCCAGTCCATAGCTTTCAATTTCTAAAACACAATGCACACAGCAACACAGTACTTACCCTCTATCACCTCATCCGCAAATGACCAAACATACTGATGACCACATACTACCTGTCTTATCGTGCAATCTTGCACTATATAGCTAAAACTGACCACCATACCCCACCTCGAGACTCTCTTGACAATCAGGACAACCTATAACCCCGCTCATCTACCGTGCCATGCAATTAACTCACCGAGAGTCAATTACCCGCAACACGCTCTTGTAGCTATCCAAAATGGGAATCACTCCTCAACTAACCAATCTCTAAAATAGACTTTTATAACCCACGAAATGAATCACATCAAATAGTCAATCACCCAACACTGGCATGACTCCAGTCAATGCCTACGTCACACTAGACCTACTGAATCTAACAATCCCTTTAACAACCATGACCAACATGCTTCCTCAGACTGTACCAGAATACCCAAAATACACGTTTATAACCCATAGACTACATTCGTGACTCAAACAACCTCTGTTACACCTACCACGACCGGTTCGAAAAGAACCTTCGCACCAAACCGTGACCCAAGTCACAAACACTAACCTTCTAAGGTCATACCTTTCTCCCTCAAAATCCTCACTCGTACACCTGACCTCCACGGTCACACGAACCCATCCACTAATGCATGAAACTTGCACACAACAAAGACACCATGCTATAAAATATGAACCCGTTTTAAAATCACGCTCTAAGCACCACACAAAATGCAATAAGAAGATTAAAATGACTATACACTGAATAGCTAAATCCACGAGCTAAAGTCCAAGCTACTCGTTCGATAAGAACTGGCACCCAACAACCCTGGAGTAACTGAGCTCTTTGCCTACTCAGGTCAAAACTCACACAACCAGTCCCATGTTCAACAGCATATACACATAAAAATATAGGTACATATACACGATATACATATATATACATATATATACATAATAACATGGACATAAACCTTGACACGATCATGTCCTATCACATAAGTTTTAAATAATGAGTCCATTAATTTATTATGTGAAATTAAACATCCCATCCATCCCCATCACCATTTCCTATAATACCCACTTACACAACCCGTGCTCAACTGTCCATCACATTACCATGCACCATTTACATGTCATAACCCACACTCACTACTTGCCATCATATCACGTATAATATGCTCTCAATTATTTATACATTTCATTGTCATGGCCATATAACACACATCTTAACAATTAAACACATAAGCATATGAACACTTAGCAAATAAGCATACTTTTTAAAACCGTAAGCACATAAGCAATTAAGCAAGTAAGCATGCTTCTCAGATAACAAATACTTTAACACATAAGCACATAAACAATATAATCCACCTTCCATACAACCCTAGGTAGGCCTCTACCCCTCGTCCTACTAGTTTTCAAACCATTGCTCTGATACCAAATTTGTAACGACCCAAACCCAAGGGTCCAAATCGCTAACCGGGTCCTTACCCGAACCCGAGATCAACTAAGGGCACTACCGTCCTTTCCTATGTCAATACATAATAATAATAATAATAATAATAATAATGGGATCATAGCTACAAAATATGTTAAAACAATCCACTAACCCGTCAAATTATAGCTACAAAATATGTTAAAACAATCCACTAACCCGTCAAAACCTGTGGAGAAGCGTCGTCTGTCACTTCCCTTCCATATCCTGAAAAATATTAATAATAAAATGGGGTGAGCCAACCGCTCAGTAGGAAGTGTCTAAGACACACCTCTTACGACCCTGTGAATCCATACAAGGAATAGAATACAAGTAAATGAGATCATGCCTCGGAGAAAGCAAGTAAAGCAACAGTGATATTAACAAATACATACGCAAGTCGTCTAACTACCAAATATACAATGTATGCCAATGTAATGCCATGCCATGCAATGTCGCTCCCCATTTTCGAAACAATACCGTTTCAACTTCTAAACTGCTAGTGCAATCCGATCCAAGGCAAGAAGTCACGAGAGAGAGGTTGGCTAGTTTTTCCGCGACCACATGACACCTCCATGGCGTCGTCCGGGTAGCTCAACCACACTAGACTCTCTCTCTCTCTAACCCCCTCTAGATCACACTAACACCACGGACCACTAGGCGCCTCCTAGGCGTTTGGGTTTTCGCAAACACTTTTAGAAAACATTTTCCTAAAGCAATTTCACTTGTTTGAAAACACTTTTCCCTTTTTCTTTCCCAATTGATGCATGAATGCTTCATGCTTCTAACCACAATTCAACTAATGAATTTCACACATGCTTTCCATAAAAAATTTCAAAATGCATAATTCATGCTTTCATTCAATATTGATTTAATATAGTAAACATAAAAGGCACAAATTCCATTTCACATAAGCATGCTTATACACAAAACATCAACTATCATAAAATCACTTTTCTCATACATCAATTAAGCATGTTTTCTCCTCAAATAACAATTAACATGTAACCACATATCACATTTATAACAACTAAGTCAACTTTGCAAGAATCCACAAAAATCTAGACATACTTTACAACAATTAATGAAGGAAAATTCACTAAAATCCAAGAAAATGTGAATTAGAAACCCCTACCTCAAGAATTGCAAAAAAACCCCAATTTGTCCAATCCAAATCCTAGAATTCAAAATTCTTAGGGTGCACCAAAACCACCTTTACTCCGATCAAATTAAAGATCTCGATGCGCTCTTCGTTTTGCCGCAAACGGTTCCCAAAAATACCAAAAGATGAGAGAGTGATTAAGATTTGAAATTGATGTGTAAAGAAAAAGAAAAAAAGGAGAATGAGAGGGAGAGGGAGAGAGAGAGAGATGAGACCATCTAATGGCCTTTTGGCCACAAAATGAAGATAAGCGGTGGTGGGTTCCACCATAAAAAAATCTAACCTTTTTAAATTTTTTTTTTTTTCATAAACATTACACATCATGCTCTCTTTTCATGTGTGTCAAGGAATAACTTTGTAAGCTCTCCATGCGTTCAATCCAATAAACAAACGATTTCTTGGAGTCCCTAAAACCCCAAAACCCATGCTCTTTGCACTTGTTCAAACTTTTCATAACAAGCATGACCAAAAAAAAAACACTCCAAAAATGAATTAGGCTGGCGAATATCTGAATATAAAGTTGTTGTGTCGCATGAGTATGGTTAGAGTAGGGGTAAAACTCAGTTCATTGTCACGTCCCGTAACCGGTCCAAGTCAGTGACATCATGCTCTCTTTTCATGTGTGTCAAGGAATAACTTTGTAAGCTCTCATGCGTTCAATCCAATAAACAAACGATTTCTTGGAGTCCCTAAAACCACAATACCCATGCTCTTTGCACTTGTTCAAACTATTCATCAAATTTTGTGAACCAAAGGCAACATCAGCAAACCACCACTGTGCAACATCCTCCAACTTGGTCTCCACCAATCCCTTCTCTCTCACAATCTGGTCCCAAATTGGACCCTTGTCCTTCATCATCTCCTGCAAGCTCATCCTCTTCTGTCCCTCCTCATACCCAACAAGCTCAACCCCAAATTCCTCCGCCAAGATCTCCCACATTTGCTTCCACTTGAACACATCCCCATTACTACAATTAAACGCTTCATTTTTACCGCCACTGTCATCCACAGCTGCCCATATCTGCTGCTCCGCTATCAAATCGGCGTCGGCTGCGTCCTTGTACACGTTCCACGAATCTCTCCGGCCATTTCTTGCTCCGGGGTAGATCAGTGGCTTGTTTTCGTGCTTGCATATCGCCGCGTACACTGAAAGTGTGCCGATTATGTTCATCATGCTATGAGGAGAGAATCCGAAAACCAGTGCAGGTCTATGGACTGACCAAGTCAGGCCTTGTTTCTTGGATGCTTCTTCTACTAGAATGTCTTCGAGGTCATGGTAGAAGTTTGGTGTGTTTAATCGAGGCAGGTCTTCAGTGAAAGGCGAGTCGTGTGGTTTGACACTGCTGTTGGGATTGAATGGTCCGGTGTAGTGTTTGAGTCCGGTTTGGAGGCAAATGTGGCGGAGATTGGTGGCGTTGGGGATGACGGCCTTGAGCACGTTGTTCAACATGGCTCCGTTGGCGGCGCAGTCCTCGGAGCCGGTCCAGGCCACGTAGAAGATGTGGGTGATGTCGGAGAGAGGGGAGAGCTTGGCCATAGTGTCTTGCGTGTCAGATACGTCGCATTGGATGTATTGAAGTGGGCAGTTGGCTTTCCAGGGACAAGGTCGGCGAGCAACACCATAGACCTTCCATGGACCGCCCGGTGTGTTGGGCAACGGGAGGATTTCGGCCAAGCTGTTGCCGACTATGCCGGTCACTCCAATGATGAGGCCGACGCTCTGGTAACTTTTTGGATCTTCATCTTCATCCAGTGTCTTCTGTTCAAATGAAGAATGAAATTTATTACATGCACTACAAATGTTTGGTAACTTGAAATTGATGTCTTAAAATTAGAATTTCAGAAAAATTAGTTCAAGATTTTTGATTTAGCTAGTATATATGATAATATACATGACACTAAATGCATTCATATGAGTAATTTTTTTGTAACATTAATCATGAATTTTTTTATGAATGTATATCAATATATGATTTCTGTAGTTATATGTATGATGTAATAAGCTATGAAGGTATATATACAAATACAGTACCTTTTGAGCACCCACGGATCTAAGCCACCACCAACTCATTGTGTAAGATTGTTGGAAGTCGAAGACAAGAGGAGAAAACTGGATTGAAGAAGAATTGATTTGTGCTCCAACTGAATTATATAATAAAGGACAATTATTGATGTTTTTAAAATTAAAATTAAGGACAATTATTGGTTGTGGACATTATTGGTGCACTGGCATTTTTTTTTTGCAAGGACAAACAAACCACCATGACTTCGCATCAGTGATAGGTCCCACGGTGGGACCTTAAAATGATTTTCCCTATCCTTCTTGGATGTGATTTGGATTCGAAAATCATAATAAATTAGTTAGAATTGTTCCGCTATCCAATTTTCTATTATTATTTATAAATAAATCATCATGGATTACCTGTATTAGTTCCTTTGAAAAGAAAAAATAATTAAATAAATAGCCAATTATGCAATCATTCTTATTTTTCTAATGAATTAAAACTCATGATATAAAAGAAAGAGAAGAATGCCATCGTAATTCAGCAGTTAAGTTGTTTTTCGTTGTTCTTGAAAATTTTATTTTTAAACCTCTGCATCTCTAACTTTTAATCTAATATTTTTGTCTTGAAAATATATATAGATATGTGTGTGTGTGATAGAGATATTTTGTAGAATAATTAAGTACATAGAGGCTAATCATTTGGATCATTCCACTGTTTATAAATAAAAAAAAGGATCAGCATGGATCGCGTGCAATATGTTTTAATATCAAGAATTAGGCAACCCACCAGCCTACATAACAATATAAAGCAAAATTCATCTCTATAATGAATTTTGATTCCTTTTATTTTTAATTATTATTTTTTTTTTTTTTTTTTTTGGGTACCAAACAGCTATGAACTTTGAAGGGACAAATACTTGTTACTTTTGGCTCTCTATATACAATTACGGTTAAGGTTCTAAGTTCTAACCGTATGCTCACCTTTGGGTATGGGCTTTCTTTTGGTCCCAAGGATGCCCTGGGCTGTATTTTGGGGCTTCGGCCCATTTGTACATTTTTCACAGTTATACAATATTTTACCTTCGGAAAAAATAAAAATAAATAAATAAATAACTGTTACTTTACAACAGTGATTATTTATTCGGCCTTGTAACTCATTAAATCTGTTCTAACCTTATAGAAATTTTTTGCTGACCCATGGGCTGTTCACGGATCTGGTCCATCTGGACCTACACTCTTTTGTAGTGTCACTGCCCTGCTATAAATGGGCCAATTAAGTCTCTTACTTGGGCGGTGAAGGTCTTCACAAGCCCAACACACACTTCTATATACAGAGTATTTTTTTTTTTTTTTTTGGTTAAAGAGTATTTTATACTTGCATGAATACCTAGGGTGAAAAAAAACTTTGCTTGCTGCAAAGGAAGAGCTAAATTTACATTTAATCCTAATTTATATATATTTTATGGTCTGTTTTGCAACCGTTTTTGTTTTGCCCTTTTGTTCTCATGTGAAACAAAAACAACGTTTTTATTGTGGGAGTAACCCAAGGGATTGGCTTAAGTGGGTAAGTGTTAGAAGTTTGTTTCCCATTAGATCTGGATAAAAAATGAAATGAGTATATACGGGTTGAGTATTAACCCCACCTACTAATTTAAGTTTTTGTGTCAGATTGCAAGCACCTGACTTGTTACAGTAAGTCACTTGGCCTCAAGAAAAAATATATATATTTTTGTTGTAAAGTGTGTTCAAAAAAAAATAAAAATAAAAATAAAATAAAATAAAACATGTAGGTAAAATAGTGTTTAAAAAATCCGTCACAATACAATATCCACAACAGAAAACAGGAAGCAAGCACAATTGTCAAACAAGCCCTTAGATGCCCCATGCTTTTTTTTCAAAATAAATTTGGTCAATTATAGTAAGGGATATAACGGAAACTATTGGGGTCGGAGTTCTTTCAAAAAAAAAAAAAAAACTTCTTTGCTAGTTAAGCAATAAAAGAAAGCCTAATGTCACGGGCTTAGAGTTTCAGCACCACTCTAGCTACTCCCGTGCGGCACCAAGACGTTGTTTTTACTCTCGCAAGTACTTGGTAAGCCTAACTCCCGTGCACACCTTTGCCAACGCACTCCCCTCGTGCGCTTACTAGTGTTGTAGTGGCCCTTACTGTAATACCCCTAATTTTAAAAGGATAGTCCTGGTAATTATTTAATTGTTTAATTGTATTTTTTTTTATTTAATTTGTTATTTGTATTTGTTTGGTTGTTTGTTTGAATTAATTGTGGGTTTCTTTAATTAGATTTTGTTTTGCTTTAATTGATTAATTGATTAATTATTTTGTTTAATTAGTTGTCTTAATTATGGATTTAATTGTTTTAATTTAATTATTTTAATTGTATTCATTTTAGGGGATTTAATAATTTAATTGTCTTAAGTTAATTGTTTTAAATGACTGGATTTCGTTAATTTAAATTAGTGTCCAACGTGATTGTCATATAGCTTTACATTGAGTTTATAGTTTACATAGGCAGCCGACAGTGAGTATAACCTAGGTTGTTCTATGGGCCGAGTTATACATGGATTAGGGTTTAGTCACTAAGCCTATAAATATGTATGTCACGGTGGTTTAGGGTTTTAGGAAAAATAAACGTAATTTCTGTAAAAGCAGAGACCGTGAGATACAGAGGGAGAATAGAAAGAGATATGAGAGGAAGGCTAGGTGGGAGCAAGGAAGAAGGAACGTGGGTTTGTGGAACAGCAGTGGGGAGTTGAACGGGCAATACAGAAACTAGGAATTTGAGTTTCAAGTCTGAAACTCAAAGGCAAGTTCTTTTCTTTCTTCTTCCCTTTGCCTGTGTTCTATGCACCTAGAAAGCCTCTAGGATTTAATTAAGCATTTAACTGAGTTTCTTATGTATAATAGATGTTATAGCAATGTTCTGTATGTGTGAAAATTTGTTCAATTACAGTTCGTGCGTATCTATTATCAGTTTGTTTCTTAAAGCATGAAAAATCTGTAGAACCTATAGCCTCTGTTTTTGTATTCAACTGCTATAAACACATCTTGGGAATTATACTGGACTTAGATGGGACTCTTAGGATCAATTTAAAGCCAACTAGAGAGGTTGTGAATGGCCGAAAACACTGCAGAAAGTCGCAGGAGTAACAGAGGTTGAAGGAGGCTCGAGGAGGAGGAGAGAGCCGGCTCCGGAATGCAAAGAGCCGGCTCCCCCATTAAAGAGTTGGCTTTAGGAGAGGTAAAGCCGGCTCTACCATCCTAGGAGGTGGCTCCAAGTGTTCTTAGAGCCTGCTCCAAAATCTAGAGAAGGCTCTTTCTCACATTTAGCTTTTGAACTTTGTTTTTACGATTAATTTTGAGACTGTAGGAGTTAGGAACTGTTTGGACTGAGTTTGGGACTTCACTGTATGACTAAAAAAGTTAATCCTAGGTATTATTAAGACCTTTAAAGTACTAAAAGCTTACGTTTAGTCAATGGGACAAACGGTATAAAATTACTAATTTTCTATACGGTTAACGGAGGAAAGATGGATTAATTGCCTAACTAAATTTTGGCAATGTAATGGGATGTAGGATGTTTATAAAAACCTATTTTGAATGCATGATAGGGTCTTCTATATATTTATTTTGATCTATACATGCTTTGGGATCTTAATTGTTGAAACAGTAAACTTTTTCTACTATTACATAGATTACTGTTGATTTTCAATTGCTAGTATAACGAAACCATTTATGAAATTATTTGGATACTAGTTGGGACTGTAAGTTACCCAGTTATGATTTATATGTTGTAATTTACATGGATATGGAGGATTGTATGCACCGGTATGGGACGGTGGCATACTGGGGACGGTTTAGCTCAAAACGCTAAGACCTAACCTACCGGATGGAAATGATGGATTGTAAAATATTGAACCCATCAATGTGTTCAAGTCAAATCAACTGACTAAGTTAAATGACTTCCTAGATTAATTGGTTGTAGTTAAGTCACATCAGCTGAATAAGTTGGGTGCTTATCTGGACGGTAGTTTGTATGTCTCCTCATTGAATAATTGAATGACATACTATGGTTTCGGATGGACTTTAGATAAATGATTATGGTACCACGACATGAGTTTGAGTCTCAGAGTCGTTACTTAGGGTGCGTATATGCAGTGAATGCGTAGCTGGATATAGTAGGTAGGTGTACCCTGTTAGGTCTAGGTACTCACGCCCACCTTTGAGTGCGTTTTCGCATGTTGCTTTCTATTCAGGTTGAGACCTCTACTATAGTCCAGTGAATGTCCTTAGTGTGAATATATATGTATATTTATGGATTACCTAGTTATATTGAGGGTATCTAGGGTGTATCTGTGTATCAGGCACTGTATGGATTACAGTTGGATTAGGACTTGCATGTGGGCCTGACCCACTCTTTTATTTTTTAGGTGCTCGTCAATTCCAGGGTTAGCGCTTGGTTGTGCAGAGCGGATACGAACTTCCATTCCACCGACTACGTAGGACTCTCTCCATAGCTTATTTTCTGGATGTTTCTTTCAGTTATTTTTATTTCAGTTTGGATTATTATTAGGGGTCCACTAGAGATGGATTCCCGAGTTGTAATCATGGAGGTTTTGATAGTTGGATTTTACTAAGTTTTATCAGTTGAGGATTTTATATTAGTATTCTTGTCAGCTTTTGTTATTTATTCTTATTTCCTCTTGTATTCTGTGTTCGTTATAAAATATTAATTGTTTAGTATTCCCTCGAGTTTGGGTCTGGGCCTGATCAACCCGTATCTCGGATTCGAGGGGTATCACAGTTGGTATCAGAGCACTCCAGGTTCAAGTGTCTCTAGGATGTTTCGTATTAAGATTTCCGCGTAGCTTTTTCTCTTGATTAGAGCTTAAATTTAGAATTCATTATATACCTTTACGGTTCGTTTAAACTCGTACTGATATCTGTCTTTCTTTGTTACCAACATGGTTAACGCTAGAAAAAGACAGATGAACAGTCGACAAAGGAGAATGGCAGCGTCAGGGAGAGCAGCATTTGCCAGAGTTTCACGATGATGGTCAGTTCCATGAAGAGTAGGAGGATGTTCAGCAGACTCGGGATCAGGAAGAAGATCCAGACTTT